TCTTGCGTCGGTGCATGCCAAGTGTGTTACCACATGATACTTACATTTTGACTTTAATCGAATCTATTTTGAGGCCTAATTAGTGACCACCTCATAAACTATGCATGCTCGAAGTTACAAGCAGAAGGAGCCCATTAAGGTTGTTAAAACCGCCCATTCTTGTCAAATTCTTTTCACTCAGTTTTGACCTACCCAGAAACGCATAGCAAAAATGAAACCCATTTTGTGACCCTTGTATGGACCCCTACAACAAGCAACAAACCATTTCCAAAAAGCGCGCCATGACCTGAAACACCTCCCTTGTCAGACGTTTGCTTTGTTGAATGAATGTAATTTCCTGCAAATTATGTTATTCCCCTGTCAGTAGTATTATGAGTTTACGACCGCCTGCAGCAGCTCATTTCACTTTTTTTTGCTGTGATGTCTTCATGTTTGTCCAGTTTAAGCAGTCCGAGTGCCATGGTTACGCTGTGTTTTTCTTTGATCGATAACAGCGTTCTAGTGGTAATATGGCATATCATTTATTGACATTTAGATAGATTAGCGAAAGGTCTTCTCGTTCACAGAAACTCCGTTGTTGGCATTGTTCGTGTTACATTTCTATGATAGAGTGCTGGGCGCTTCATCGGCACGGCTTATTGATAGTTTTTTTCACACTATGCTCCTTTTTATAACACTGCTTTACAGGGATCTTAGTCGACACGATGCCTGTCCTTCCCCCCCCCCCTTAAGAAGCATGTCGAGTTGTTCATCTCGACATAGTGATGGATGGCGCTGTTTATCGACGTGTCTCACTCTGGTAAAACTTGTAAACGCTTGTGAAGGTTGAGCAAGAACTTTTAGAAAAAAGGTACCTAGGTTGGTTGACAAAATCTTATCGAAAACAGAATGCAGCGCCGTGATGGATTGTTGCTGTGTTTACTTGAAATATAGTCTTGCTCGCTGCGGATGATGGGGCGTGTCAGGAAGGATGGGTTTAGCGCGGAGCCAGACCCGTTCTCACCAATTGTTGAAGCGAGCAAGCGTCCCGCATCGTTCGTATCAGTCGTTTTCCCCTAACTGTTGTCGCTTACCTGCTTCAATTAGTGGTGGAGAACAGGCTAGCTACGCTCAAAGCAGCTTTACTAACATACCTCATCATCCGCAGCGGACAACAGAATTGTGGAACGACTTTGTAGGTAAATTTAATCCAATGCTCTAGGAGTGAATATAACTAGATTATTTGACTCTGAGGTCGCTAAATAGTCACTTTATTTCAATGCGAAGGATAACGCATTCCCTCTCATTCAGAATCGTTGAGACACATTGAGTGCGACATGGCTTACAAGATAGCTCGCGGGGCTATTAGTGTGAAAGGCAGTGTTTTTATCCTTCCAGACGACTGGGACCACTTCCTGCAGGCAGGGTTAGTCGGCGCGGGCGAGAGCCGATCTGGCATTTGACCCCCGAATCGCACGCTAGGTAAGAGCGATGGGGACGCTTACTATTGCATCTCCACTGTTTACTCTAATATGTCACTATATTTTCGAAGCTGTTTTGTTATGATAACTGCTGTTTAACGCCGCAGTACGCGTTCCGAATGTTATCACAAGAATGCTGAGTTGTGGGCAAAAGTCGTGCCCCAGGCGGGAGTCGAACCCGCACCTCACGCTTTCCGGGCGAGTGCTATCCGTTACGCCACCAGGGCCGCTTTTACCCTCTCAGCAGGAAAGGTCAACAGGTCAGCCTAACGGCCGTTTATGTCCGTAGCCCTTCACATACTTCAACACGTTTAACGGTTTTGAGCCGGTCCCAGCCGTACGCCCGTATAAAGTCTCTGTCAGACGCGGCTGGTATCCCGGGCGAGTGGTACTTCGCCAAAGCCCGAGACGACGCGCTTTTGCCGACAGGTTCTCGTATGGCGTATACGCCTCGATGCTTCTGTTATTTATTTAGACTAAACTCTGTCCTTGTTCCCACAAAACCCGCGCGGATTGTACACTCTGTGTTCAACTTGGCTGGCGTTATGTAATCCTCAAAAAGAAATCTTGTAGTTTAAAACACTTCATTTGTTGCAGCTCCTGTAAAGTGGGGGATCCAACATAAGCTTAAAATCCATCGAGCTTGCTCTGTCCTGGAGAACCTTTTTTGCGTCGATCACCCGACAGCCCGTTATAGGGCAGTACATATAGAGGCGAACATTCAGTCTGTCTCTCAAAATGGGAGCTGTAACAAACACCTGGAATCAAAAAGTCGCAAAATACTCTACTTACCAAAATGACTCAGCGAACAAAATGACTGGTATCTTATATCGGAGTGCTACTTAATTACTTAGCTCTAAAACCTAGAGAGTACAAATGCTGAGCAGCGAACCTGGCAACCCGACAAGTTGTGCTCTGCAACACTTAGCACGGACTCTCCTATTCAATCATAAGTGTCATGGGCATAGAGAAACTCTCATACTGGTAAAAGATCGTGTCATTCGACGACTAGGCTGCGTAAATACTATAGCCCCGGACTGCCCGGCACTTCATCGCGTCTTGCGAGCCACCAAGGCGCAGGACGCTACTCGGGTGTACCAAAGTTTTTACTGGCTGTCGCGATCACTGTAATAATTTTCAGCTGAGCAGAAAATTTTATCTTCGCGGAAACTCTTTTGTATGTAGACAGTCTGAACCACTAAGAGGCCTGACCCTCAGTATATCGAACCAGTACAGTTTATCATCAAATCACTTAGCAAGTCTGTCACGTAAGTGAACGATGTCCGCGCCAAAATGTCTGGAGAAACATCTGCTCAAAACTCCCACTCCAGAAGGAACTGTCACTCTACAAGGTTAATCTCAGATACCATACACTGTCAAAGCCCTTAAACGCTACATTGGCCAAGAAGCAAAAGATTACAATGATCTGTGGTCCACAGTTTTGAAGAAGACGGCACCCACCTGGCGTTTGAAAATATTTATATCCGTAATCAGTGGTTCCAGCAGAATAGCCCAGGTGTTGACCGAAGAAATTTCCCGTCCCCAAAATTGGTGGACCGGACCCAAAAGAAAAGAATTTATGAAAAGCCAATCAACGCGGTATTGAGTATGTGTATAAACCCCGTGAAACCAGGTAAATTCTTCTCACCTCAAAGTATCCATACGCACCCACCCACTCCCAACGAGACCAATTACCGAACCCCTCCTCCCAGCGGACCAGTACGCACTCCTATTCGTTTCACACAACATTTGTTGTACCCTTCTCTCCGGAAGTTACGAGGGTTGCACAGGGACTCTTTTACACCGGCGGTCCATTCTCACCTTTGTTTAAAATTGTGCTCCCCCAGCTCATGTCATAATTAACGTAGGTCCTGCTGTTTATAACTTTACGAGCCCAGAGTTGGTGTGCTGTCTCACTCATTACTTATTTTCTCACAAAAATTCAGGCGATTAAAGAAACAATAATTTTGGAGCCTCCCGAAAGGGAAATTTTTGCCCGATATTGTTCTTTAGGAGATCAAATCCTCTGGGAGACAAAATTTTCAATTCTGTCTTCCAGAGGAAGAATTTGGTAAAAATGGCCTGATTTCGGAAGATTGGAGCAATAAGAGCTAAATTGTGTCAAAGATTCGAGATTGCTATACTCGTCTCTTGCATTTCTCGATACATTTTGGTCGTAGTAATTCATTTATTTGGAAATTACTAAGTTTCAGTGTAGAAAAATGTGCCGTCCCAGGCGCAAGTCATGGGAAAAATGGCTCGTCGTCAACGTGTTAACCTGAGAGGGTAGAAGCGCCCTGGTGGCCGTAGCGGATAGCGACAACTCGCCCGGAAAGCGTGTGGTGCGGGTTCGACTCCCGCCTGGAGCACGACTTTTGCCCAAAACTCAGCATTCTTGTGGTAATTATCATTTTTACTTGTAGGTCTATAGTTGAAATTTTTATAAACTCCCTTTGACGACTGCCCTGTTGAACTTTGTTTCGTATCCACAAGAACGTTTATTTATGGGCAAAATTCGGACCCCAGGTGGAAATCAACCCCGCATCTTCAGCTGACCGGGAGGATGCGTTCATGCGCTATCTATTTGTTTTGTTTGTAGTGGGAAAGATAAAAAGGTTGCCACCACGACTCTCGATGAACCTCGGCATCGTAACAGTAGCATTTTTTTCAGCTTAAACTCCACACCGGGTTGGCAATCTACAGGAGCAAGTAACTTTTCGACGATGTCGTTTTCTTCAGAGCTGTAAGATGGGAATCGAGTCATGAGGCTATCCGATCAAATGCCGGACCTCAACGAGTTTTTCGAGAACACCCTAATTCATCACATGATTAATAAGAAAGTAAATAAGATGAATACTGAATTAATTTTGAGCTGTTGACCCAGGAGCTTGAAAACGCACCTCTTAAACGCGGCTCCATCACTCGGAATCGTTGTCATAACTTTCGAAGCATGGACCACGGCCTTAATCAGCAGTTCACAAAAGTCGTGATTTTCCGATCTTCAAGTCGATACGGATGAATTTATTTTAGCACGTTCTTCCTTTCTACGACTTCTTAATAAGAGCTTCTCCATCTAGCTATCTAGGATTTCCCATACAAACGGCGTCCACAGAACACACAGCATTTTAACAAGTGAATTACCTCGCTGTTTGAACCCTCAATCATACTGTGCCATAACTTTACTACTTTGACAAACAGTCTTATCAGTGTAATAGCAACGACTGCTCTCTTCTCGAGATTGTGTCAGCACCATGAGATTTGTTGACAGAATAGGAGAGTCTTTAGCTTCAGCGTTCTTATATAATGCTTTGTGTTCATATCTTGTTTTTAATGTCTCTTTTCTTCCGTGGTTGGTTCTTCCTTTGATAGCGAATAAGCTAGAGTGAAACTGTAGAGGAAAAAAAAGAGTATTCCGGTTTTCCTTGACGTTCTTGGATCCGGTGGGTTTACTGACGGACTTTTGTCAACACCTTGAAATTACTGGCCCTGAACTTACTTCCAATGGCTTGTTCTTTAGCTTTTTCTTTACAGCCGTCACCGATGACTGTCAGTTCGCCTAATTCGGCAAGCCGGCTGACGGTTGCTGCTGATGAGCCGTCGAGCAACCGACGAAAGCGCAAAACACCCCTGTCGTTGACGAAAAAGAGAAAGGTCTGTTTTTCAAGAATTTTATTGAAGATCTGTCAAACGTAGCTTCCATAAGATCCGTATCCCAGAGATGGGAAGGGCGTGGATGCGTGCATAGTGGGAAAATGGCGTAGAATGCGTTCCTCGTAGGATATTATGAATTGAGGTAGCTGCCATCCTATCTTGCGTGGGACAAAGGTCATGGCTATAATTGTCCCGAAATGGCAATGTGGCACGAAAACACTTACATTGCTACGAACCATGCGAAGTACGCAGCCACGCCCACTTCATCTCCAAGATATGAGTATGTATAAAGAGTGACTGAGGCCGTTTTGGGAGTTAGCCTGAATCATGCTTGGGGTGGAAGCTCATCACCGAAGGGGGTCGTATTCAATGTTGGTTTGGTTGGCTTGGGAGGAACTTCGATCAGAGAGCGCTGAAAGGAGGAGGGCGTGAATATGGCTGTTGTGTAATTTTTTGCCTCCATTTAATGCGCAAAGAGTCCAAATCAGGGTCGGACCATTCACTTCTTTGACCATAGCTGAAAGAGTATGCAGGCATAGGACTGCTGCGGACTACTTACAGTACTTTTTGTGTAGTGAAAATTTACTTTCAGCACCTGAATCCATCATCATTAAACCTTTTGCAGGAACTCGAAGCTTTGGAAAATGAGAAAAATAAAATGGAAGTTGACGAGGCGTTGTCTGACTTGGATTGTGACTCGTCATTACTTGATGAATCGCTTCTATGTTTGGGAAGTGACGACGAGTTCGAGGTGGATTGCGCTGTTCCTTACAGTCTTGTTCGCTGCGGATGAAGGGGCGTGTCAGGCAGAATGCGTGCGGCACAGTGCCAAACTCGCTCTCCTGCAATTGTTGGAGCGATTAAGTGACAACAATTTGGGGAAAACGACTGGTATGAACGATATGATACCATCGCTTTGATAAATGGTGGGGGAAATAGGTTTGGCACCGCGCCAAACCCATCTCGTCTGATACACCCGCCTGTTTGCTCAATCTGCAGAACGTTGAATGATCATATTTCTAGGATGAGCGACTACTAGATGAGGCGTTTTTGAAGAAGTGCGGCCGAAGAGTAATGGAAGTGTATTTCAATGTGATAAAGGACTATAATGAAAGGCTCAAGAAAGAGGAAGCGGTAAGGCCTTCTGAAAGGATGTTGGATTCAAATTTGTTGGATTTTCCCTTTCCTGATAGCTAACAACGTTTTCTTATGATTTGCTTAGTTCTGCTTCTTAAAGTTGGATACCATGTTTTTTTGTGTAATTGTATTCGCTTGGATATTTATATTCGTTTCAGCCCAACTTTCTTAGAGTTATCAAGAAACTTCCAATCCGTCGTTATCACACATATGATGACTCTACGCCTGGAGAGCTATATCTTGAGCCAGATGACATGAGCGAATTCATCACACATTTCAAGGTACTTTTTCCAGGCGCTCTATTGATAACATTTTGTTGCTTACACAGTTTGGACTCGGGAACAAGGATGAGCAGTCGTGATGCGTACTGTTGAAAGGAGGAGAATAAGTGCGAGAAAACAAAGAGCAAAGCAAGTCTGGGACGCAATTCACAGACGGGGTAGAGAGTGCATTTGAAACTTCCACTGCTTCGCTCGCAACTAGTTTTTTTTTAGTGACCCCACGGCTGGACACAGCAAGTCATTGAGCCTAACCACATCCGAAAAGCCGCTAATGTTCTGGTTTTGAATAGAAATGGGATGTTGAGCGCATACCACAAGAGGATAAATCAGCGCCGGGACTTTCTGTGAAATTTTGTCTAGGACCAGACCATCAATTTTGTACATCCTTTTGAACAAGATTGCAACGATGAGGATCTAAAGGCAAATCTTCGGCAACCGTGCACACTCGATGCCCTAGGGATGAGGTGGGCGTGGCTGCGTACTTTGTTTGAATGTGGCGGCGGCTGCGTATTTGGTGTGATTGTTTTGAGACACTTTTAATCATGCCCACGAGGCTGGATTACAGTGTTTTTGGAATAGAAATATCCTACGAAAAGCCCATCCCGTGCTATGCTCAAATGAAGTACGCATTCACGCCCTCCTTATCTCCGGGTTATGGAGCGCACCCTGACTCAGAACATTGTCAACAGTTTACCCGAATATCTTCGCTTAAGACCCATCGAAAATAGGGTTGCATAGTGCATGAATCTAATTATATGACATTCGCTGAAACATGTGTCCATGAGATAACTAGCTTTGACGCTGAAATTACTCTTTAAGTTCTCATGTTGAATTATTGAGAGTAAAAAATGTATTCTGCCGAGTTTCAGATTACTGACTGCCGAAATATGAACGCGCAGCGGTGTGGTGTTCGTTTTCTGCCAGCGCTCGAGCTTCGTCCAAGAACGGCATATTGGGTGCATACAGAGTGCAACATCAGAGTAAGCCGATTTCAATCTTAAGAAGAAGGATAATCTCAGGATTGGTGTGATTAATAGAAGATTAACTATAATCTTAGGATTAACTTTTCTTGGGTTCTCTTTTTCTCTGAGGACGGTGTTATCACTCTACACTTTCATAGTGTTTAAATAGGAGCGTTTATTTTGCAGGCAGATGAAGAGCACAGACTTTCACACATTCCATTTGTCAGCGAAGATCATGACGACAAGCAGTTTTGTGCTGAGCTGAGAAAGTTATATGACGAGGTAAGTTTTTTGCGGTAGCACCGCCCACTCAATTCTCCACTCAGTTCTGCGTAAAGTATTAGGTTTGCGGGAGAGTTCTGTCATACTTTTTGAACTTAAAACACTTACCTATTACCTGAAGAGGGGTAGCCGGTAATGTGAGCATCTATATGTCTTTCTATTAGTACCACTCGCTTGACTCCTGCTTCTTCTTCTTCTGCAATATGGACAAGAATGTTATCCGCTACCATCGGCACCGACCCCTCCAAGCGCTTCCTCAAACTTTTTCTTCTACCACCCTGGCGCCAGCATGACAGCTGCCAGTGCCAAAATAATGGAGCTTCATGAGTACGATGCCCTCATTTATCGGCAACCTATCACGGCGCTAATGCTTCAAAGCGGAAACCTGCAGTTTTGATGAAGAAGTGAGGTTTGGGTGTACCTGTGAGTTCAGCTTGAGGGAGCTGCGGATTGTGAAACTGCTGAATGATGAATCCGTACGCAAAGCAGCTAGAAGCCCTGGAGCGGATAGTCGAGCAGAGGGAAAAATTTGTCCGCACTCCGCCTTCAACATGATAGTGCAGCCCACTACGTCCATAAAGGTCGAGCCAAACTTCAAGCTGGATGGCTCTTCCCTTGCATCGGTGAAGCCCCGGAACAGCTCCTTCTAACTGCTAGTTGCCTCCCGTACCCAACCGCTATTTGGACGAGAAAACCTCCACGACCCGAGCCCAAGTCAAAATTGAGATGATGTCCTTTGCGTCGCGCCGGCCTGCATTGTGAAGCGATGGCATCCATGAGGTGCTCAAAAACTGGCAAGAACCCCGCAATAACATTGCTGTATAATTTTGATCTTGTACGCCTCTCTATAAAAAGAAAGCCTAATTTGAAAAAATATGACAGAACTTTCCCGCCAACCTAATAATCAATCACAGACTGTCACAAAGTGCGTGTTTCGATCGTAACACTCACCAGCGCGACATATTGCGATTGTCCTGTCACGTAACCCTACCCATGTAGTCGGTTTAAGCGGTAGGGTTAGGGGAAACAAGTATGTATAGATCATGGGATTTTTAGGTTGTGTAAAAACATCATGAATGTGGAAATACAAAAGCAAAGCGGCGTTTTCTTTGAATGCGGACGCTTACTCTTGAATACTTTCTCACGTTTTTTTTTGGCGAAATTTCGGTTATAATCCGGGTTAGGAAACTGATAACTAGAAAGTCTCTAGATCTCAAGTGATATCATTTTCAAGCTCTTCTTCTTAAAGGCAGTTGGCACGATAAATCCCCCAAGACGACTAGGATCAATACTCCTGGCAGGATAAATTCTGCGCTACCCTGGGCAGGCG